CTGCTTTTTAGTTTGGTTGAAATTATTTTATTTGGTTGAATTTATTTTTTGTTTGGTCGAAAAAATGTTTTTTTGATACAAATTATTTTTTTTTATTGAAGATGCTTTTTTAAACAAATTTACCTCCATATAACAGCCACAGGTCGTCTCATCATTAAAACTCTTTGCATCAACAAATTCAACAGAAAGCTCTTTTTCTAAGAAGCTGATAAATGAAGAAACAAACTGATTCAACAGATGGTTTCTTTTAACAGTTTGAAGATTTTTAACTTTAAAAAGTGCCTTAAAACCTACAAATGATAAAGAAAAACAGAAAAAGTAAATTTCAACCATGTGAAGTCCAATAATAAAAACAACCTGTTTTGTAAAGTTCAAACATGATCCTCAGATCACCAGTACAGCTGTTTAAACTGAATTATTGCATCTCGTTTTTAAAAACCACAAAGATTAAAGAAACGAGACGACAGTTTCATCATAAGGACCAACRTGTCGGCTGAAAGGGTTGTGAAGGACAGTTTGATGTGTGCAGTTCAGCACAAACACAATGCTGAGCGCCACCGGCGGTCTTTGGCTCGTTTGATACAGAGCAGGTGGATGTGAAAAATAAACACTGTGAAAAAGGAAACAACTTCTATATTTAAGTGATGGAGGGTAAAGAAATGTAACCAATAAAAACAGACTTTGCAGATAGAGGCGTTTGAATTTAACATTCAAATGTGAAACAAATATGTTTAAATAAGGCTGGTTTGTGCAGAGCTTAGGTGATTCACACAGGATAGTGTTGATAAAATTATCCTAAAGCAGAAACATTTTGAACAAAACTCCTCGTTTCACAGCAGATCCCTTCTGAGGGGAGGAGCGAGAGAAGAGGCTCCGCCTTCTTTTGTTGGAGTCTTAAAGTACCTGTGGCATCAACTTTTTGTTATAAACATGAACGCATTTTTAGGGAGAGAACATTAATAACATATTGCAAAAAAAAAATTATGCAGCTGAGATGAAGAGTTGTTGAGATATTTGCATGTGAAGTAACAGGAAGTGATGTCAGAGGGGAATGAACGTAAACAGTGTCRCTACAATCGCTAACAGACTGTAGAGAAGCATCGTTTCTTTAGATTTTGAGTCTGTCAGAGACGAAGAAAAGTTCAAACAGTTTTAATGAACAAAGACCAGAAGAGATCCCTGTGATGTCACTTCCTGTTTCACTTTGAGCCATGCTCAAAAGAAAATGCCACATTTGTGACAAAATGTGTAAAATCGTGTGTATTGTGCCACGTTTCTTAAATATAAACGTGTTTTCTTTAACTTTTTGGATTTGAAGGATATGCATGTCACAGGCGCTTTAGAGCCAGCAGGACCCGCTTTACAGAAGCGGCCATGTTGGATTTTTGGAACCAGAGTCTGAGCGTTTGAGACGCAGGGCTTTAGGCCCCGCCTCCTCCCCGGCAGACAATCCTGGTGTCAGTTTTCTTTGACGTGTAAAATAACTGATTACACTTAAATGTATTTTAAAAACACGAATATTTGAGAATTTATCAGCAAGGTAAAAACTAACAAGAGTAAAAACTAAAAAATAGGGCTGCAACAATACAGAAAATACACGKTTCGGTTCGATACTTTAGTCTCACGGTTCGATATTTTTTAGATATAAAAAATGTCCATGCCCCTTTTAACTTGTAATTTATTTAAATTAATTATGAACATTTGTTTAACCTCAAAAGTACAGTTTTTAAATTAAATGTTGCTGAAACAGCAAGTTTCTCAGTGGATCTGTGCTCTGAAATGCAGCCTAGGTGGAGGAGTGGAACACAGATCCACTGAGAAACTTGCTGTTTCAGCTAAATTTAAGTTTTAACTGAATTTAAAAACTGTACTTTTGAGGTTAAACAAATGTTCATAATTAATTTAAATAAATTACAAGTTAAAAGGGGCATGGAC